ATCTTTCATAATGAATAGCTGTTTTTATGGATTATAATAGAAACTGTTTATAGAGCTATAGCTGAGATCAGCATAACTACAGGTGAAAATTTAATTAAACACTTAAAATCTGTAGTGTGAGTTGATACTTTTATTCTAAACATGGTGTGTTAAAATGAATTCAATAAAATATAAAAAATCGCTTCTCTAAAAAGCACTCACCTCAATAAGTAAGATGTACAAGAGGTCCTTGTATGTACAAGATGTCCTTGTCTGCGCTGGATCATCTGTTTCAACGCTGCCGCCAGCCCTACGTTTGCTCTAATGTAACTAGAACATACTTGATAGCTCTGTGTCCTAAGTCTCCTGAATCACATTCTTGCCACTTCGAGTATTGTTTAAACTGTCGTCCGGTTGGCTTGGCAGGTCTGAACGATTTCAGCTACCTTCATACAAACTGCTTTGAGCTGTCCATCTACGTGGGCTGTGACAAGTACCCGCATGAGAGCGAGCTGCCGGAAGAGTGGGAGAACAACCGGGAGTCCCTGATCGTGTTCATGGAGCAGGTACGGGGTGGGAGGAAGCCGTCGTGAGGGGGCTCAGCTAAGGAATGGTGTGCTTAGGTGGCTGGAAGCATGTGATTTCATAAATGCTTTAGCCCTGGGTCAGCAGCCTGGGCCAACCACAGACAGTGTGGAAAGGAACTGTTTCCACTTTATTAGACCCCCAGGACATGAGTTCTGAGTAAATGCTGATGCTCCCACTGGCTCGTGGCAGGTGCAACTAGCTCAAGGGTGCTTGGATGCTGCCCTGCGGGGTGAGGGGATAGCTGCCCCACTCAGTACTTGTTGGGAAAAAAGCCAGTGCGCCCAGGCCCCTCCAGGCCTCCTGAGTCACAGCCACGGCTGTGGGACGGGTTAGTTGGGAGCAATTTTTAACAAGTACCCTCTGAGGTTCTGCTCTGCAGGGGTGAGGGGACCCTTCGGTATTCATGCAGAATCTCACGGCCTTCCCCTCCTCATCACTCAAGGACCCGCCCATCCTGAGGCACCCATGTGTAAACAGGCTCGAGGTTAGTGCTAAAACTAACCAAATAAAATCCATGCCCCAGAAAGAGCAGACTAACGACATCAGAGGAATAAACGAAAACTAACAATTGGCCCCCGGGGCCCCTCCCCAGGGCCCCTCCATTTATGAGTATTTGTACCTGACTACCTTCGTTCTCAGCTGTGACAGGAAGGGAAGAGCCTAAGTCTGTACATGGAGGTGGCCCCTCCTCCCATGGGTTGTCCTAGATGAGTCAGACAGACCTTCGGCAAGTAACACAGGCTGCCAGCCTCCTGGTACCTATGGCCGCATCTCACACTGGGGGCTGAGGCTGCCACCAAGGCCTACATCCCGGTTTAAAGTCCATCCTGGTGTAAAGCACATCCCGGTATAAAGCCCATCCCGGTGTAAAGCACATCCCGGTGTAAAATTTATCCTGGTGTTAAGTCTATCCCGGTGTAAAGTCTATCTCCGTATAAAGTACATCCCTGTGTAAAGCACATCCTGGTTTAAAGTACGTCCCAGTGTAAAGTCTACCTGGTATTAAGTCTGTCACGGTGTAAAGGTCACAGGGGCTCAGTGCAGCCACCATGACTTCCCTGGCGCAGAAAGGGTAGGAACCTATTCTTCCCTCTTGGGAAGCCATGAACACACCCCTGAATGCTATTGTGTGGGAGAAGATTCTTTTTCTTTTGCATAGATGACAAGACAGAAAGCCTTGACTCTAACAATCTAACCATTCTAAAGATTTAGCCAAGGCCCCTCCTGTGGATAAAATGCGCAGGTGTAGTGAAGTGTTTAAGAAGGTAATTGGAAACGCTAGTATGTCGCCTGGGATGGTCACATCATTTTACAGATGGGGAAACGGAGGCAGGAGGTTCAGAGTTGTTTGGTGTCAGGAGCCACAGCTAATCAGCGGAAGGGCCCTTTAAACTGAGCTCTTGGATCTTGATCCTGCTTTTCCCTCTCTGATGCTCAAGTCACTCGTCTGTATCCTTTAAACCCCCACCGCCCAGGAAAAAAAAAAAAAAAACAACCCAACTCACTGCCTTCAAGTCGATACTGACCCAGAGTGACCCTGTAGGACAGAGTAGAACTGCCCCATTGAGTTTCTAAGGCTGTAAATTTTTACGGAAGCAGACCGCCACATCTTTCTGCCGCAGAGTGGCTGGTGGGTGCAAACCGCTGGCTGTTCTGTTAGCAGCCGAGGGCTTACCTACTGCACCAAAGGACTCTGGCTCTGTATCTTCTGGAAAAGTCAAAATAAATATGCCTATACAGTCTTAAGGAGCCCCAGTGGCACAGTGGTTAATCACTCGGCTCTAACTGAAAAGTTGGTGGTTCAAATCCTCAGCCACTCCATAGGAGAAAGATGTGGCAGTCTGTTCCCGTAAAGATTACAGCAGCCTTGGAAACCCTCTGGGGAAGTTCACCTCTTCCTACAGGGTCACTGTGAGCTGGAATCGACTCACCGGTAGGGGGTTGGGTTCGGTTTGGTATACAGTCTTTAAAACATTAAATTCCATTTTTAGTGGATGGATTTTTATGAACCATCTCAGATCCCATATTTTTTAAACCACTGGGATATTGTGTTTAACTCCAGTGTAAGGACCCGAAGGGAAAGCAGAAGTAATGCACCAAATCCGCACGAGATAGGTTAGTCTTTGAGTTAAATGTGGCAGTGTGAGGGTTCTTGGTGGGACTGGGGTGACATTAGGTCTATAGCCGACTGTTGTCCTGGCTCTCTCTGGAGCTGGTTGGTGACCTCACCCCATTTCTCTTCACGCTCACCGAGCAGGTTCATCGCGGCATCAAAGGCGTAGTGAGAGATTCACACGGCAAAGGAATTCCAAATGCCATTATCTCCGTAGAAGGTATTAACCACGACATCCGAACAGGTAACTGCCAATGTATATAAACTGTCACCCAGTAAGGAAGATGCATTTTTTCAAGTGTTTTACTTGGGTTAAAATCACGAGTTGAGTGCCAGCAACTTCTTAGGCAGAGCTGGATTGCTTATGTCTTTCCTCTGACTTCCTACAGAGACCCCTGAGAGCGAGGTTTTTCATCCTGTGCTTTCTGGCTTCTCTCGCCCCTTCCCTGGGCTGGCATGGAGCGCTTGACCAATGTCTGGGTGCAGTGAAGTTTCCAGAAGATGCAGAGGCAGCTCTGTCTCTACAGTGTTGTTATGACGCAGGCAGCTTAGCTTCCCAGTCGGGGCCGGACATGGCCAATGAATGTTTGTAGGAGTGACAGAGGCAGGAGAAGCTGTAGGCTAGGGCGGTGCAGGGCAGCATCAGTGGCTCACGCAGGAGAGCAGTGGGGCTGCAGTGGAGTGGGGCAGCTGGGGGGGTAGCTTCCCAGTCGGGGCCGGACATGGCCAATGAATGTTTGTAGGAGTGACAGAGGCAGGAGAAGCTGTAGGCTAGGGCGGTGCAGGGCAGCATCAGTGGCTCACGCAGGAGAGCAGTGGGGCTGCAGTGGAGTGGGGCAGCTGGGGGGGTGGGGTAGGAGCAGAGGGAGATGGTCCCTGAGTACCAGTCCAAGAAGTGTGCAGGCTGCAGGAAACGACTGAACACGATGTTTTAGGAAGACTCCATTGTCTACAGTGTTTGAGTAGGATAATAATAGCAATAAGACCTAACACCATTTTTGGTATGTCCTATACACCAGACACTCTTAAGAGCTTTACGTGTATAAACTCAGCTATTCCTTACAACAGTTCTGTTTCTTGATGCTCTTGTTACCCTCAGGAGTCCCTGGGTGGTAAAAACGGTTAATGGTTAACATGCTTGACTGCTAACCAAAAGGTTGACTCTTCGAGTCCACCCAGAGGTGCCTCGGAAGAAAGGTCTGGCGATCTACTTCCAAAAAATCAGCCATTGAGAACCCTATGGAGTACAGTTCTACTCTGACACACATGGAGTCACCAGGAGTTGGAACTGACTCGCGGCAGCTGGTAGATATCGTTACCCATACTTGAAAGATGAAGAGTGAGCACAGTGAGAAATGAACCATGGAGACCCAGCTCCCACCCACTGTAAGGGATCACGGTTGGTGGTGTTGATGCCAGACCCAGAGCTCCTTCTTCACCCCCATGTTCTTTCTCAGTAAGAGGGAGAAGGGGCCTTTTCTCTGCTAAGCGTTCACACGTGTTAGCAGCTCCAGTCCCGCCAGCAAGGACTGTACAGGAGGCTTCGCAGGAATTATGATCCCATCTGACTGTGAGGAAACGGAGACTCTGGCGCCTTAGATGGTGCCAGCGTGCCTCCCTTGTGCTTGGTCTGGAAGGCCCATCCCAATTTAAATGGATGAAATGTAGCTGAAATGCTGCATACAGTAGACTGCGGTGTAATACCTTGAATCACACTCTCCCCACTGAGCTATTTCTTGACACAATGGTATTTTCCAACGTTCCTACCACTCGTCCTTGAGGACCTCATAGCCAGTGGCCACGAGACGTCACACTGCGTAGCGTGGCATTTTGTACATCTTGGCCCCTCCCAGGCATCCATCCATTCATCCATTCACTCATTCATTCACTCATTCATTTACACACTCATTAATTCAACAAATGCGGATTGCACAGCTGTGGTGGGCCAGAGACCTTACAGGGTGCTGGTGTTCTTTATGAAGGGAAGACAGGCTGTCTGATGTGGTTCTTCCTAGGACTGATATTGTCAACATTGCTTATGAGCTGCTTTAAAATGAAGTGATTCATGAAAGAGCCTGGAACATTCCCTGGACTATTTCGTGCCTTATTTGCAATGTGAGAAAACATGGGTTTTTAAACTGAGTGAGAGATAAAAAGGCCCCGGGGCCCCATAAGTGGAGATGAGAATACTTCGCCTAATGGACCCTGCATTTCAAACCCCTGGAATCAAGGAGACAGTTTTGATGAGCTAATGGCAAACGCATTTCTCTCTCCCTTTATTTTTTCCTTTTTAAATAATTTCCCGGTGTATTCTTATGACAGATAGATTCCATACTTTATGCATGCCTCTTTATTTTATATGTTCCAGCGTCTTCCAAAGCTCAACCTAAGCTCATAATTTGTCTTGATTTCTGTCTGAAGCTCATGTGATCTGACAAGTTTTATTTCAGGGGGGTTTTGTATAAAATAAACAGAAATATTAAGTGGAATTCCACAGGGATGGAAGCTAGTATGAATACTTTGTAAATATACATCAGCCCAGCACCAGGCACAGGACTCCCTGCACCTGTTCTTTGTTCAGTGAATATTAATCTGACCTGCTGAGAGGCTGGGTTACCTCTTTTGTCCACAAATGCCCAGAGATGCCCATTGCGTATCAGTTTCCTGCCGTGTCCACAGAACACTCACCTCTAAAGGCCAGCTGTTTGCTCAGCGGACAGTAACCCACCATGGCGCCCCCACGTCTCATGGTGTAGATGGAGTCTAGGCTTCCCCGGGGTCAGGGGTGGAAGTGAGGTAAGATGAACATCAGGATAAATTGGGGCAATCCCCAACAAGAGTGTCCAAGGGGAGGGCACCCTGCCAACAGACAAGAGACTCATCCTGAAATGGAAACTTCTAGATGGCAGAGAGAGTCCCTGGGTGCCAAGAACAGTTAAGCACTTAACTATTAGCAAAAAAGTTTGGTGGTTCAAACCCATCCAGAGGTGCCTCAGAGGAAAGGCCTGGCTATCTGTTTCTGAAAGGTCACAGACTTGAAAACACTATGGAGCAGTTTACTCTAGACACATTGGGTCTGCATGAGCTGGAATTGACTCTATGGCAACCAACAACAAGATTGCAGAGTTAGCACCCCTTATTCTGATTCAGTGAACCTAAACAAATTCCTGATAATCTCATTTATTCTTTTAATATGTACTTTTAAGCCCCTACCATGTGCTAGGCTAGGGATCCTAGATAGCAAGCTGGGTATGGCCTCTGACCCCTGAGAGTGTACCTGTGGAGGACAGCTACAAGACGCTGAAGAAAATGGAAAAGTTCACTGCAGACTGATCTGGGCCCAGAGGGGAAGAAATCGGGTGATGTACTAGAAAGAGGTGGGGAAGGGCTACATTATATCGGGCAGCCAAGGAGGGTTTCTCGGGGAGGGGATGGCTTTGGCGTTAAGACTTGAAGGATGAGCAGATGGCCTTTACAAGAATGAGGAACAGCATTTCAGTTGGCGGGGAATGTAATTACATGAAGAAAACCCAAGAGGCTGGAGGGCCATGGGCAAGGGGAGAGTGACCTGCAGTGACGTGGGAGAGTCAAAGGCTCACCACGCAAGGGTCACTGGCCCTCATCACGAGTTTGGGGTGACTCCTCAGGCTGCTGGAACACCATCTCTCCCCATCTGTTTGTCTGTTTCTCCTCAGGAACGAGTCTTGCATCTGGATTTTCTTCCAAGGCTTATCCAGCAGGGCTGTAGGAACAGAACAAGTTGCTTTTAAATTATAAAAAGCAGTTTTTGGTATTAAAAAACAAACTATAGGATTTAAACAACATCTCAATATCTGAGTTTTCGAAGGATGAAGGGGGGTTGACCCAGCACAGGAGTTGGGGAACAGCAGTGGGAACAGCATATGCAAAGGCCCAGAGGTCTGAGAGTGTGTGGGGGCCATTTAGGGAGCCACTGCAAGGTATTCAGGGTGGCTGGGACAGAGGGGTGTGGGATGTGGACAGGGAGGGCAGAAACTGAAGGTAGATCGGTGCAGGCCTGGCTGGGGGCTTTAGGTTTTATCGTCCATGCTCCAAGGGCAGGTTCAAGGAGTGGGTGCCATGGCCTGTGCAAGAAGGAGGCCCGACACGGGAGGATAGACTGGGAAGGATGACAGACACGGGGGGCAGGGAGGGAGGGTGCCTTAGTCTCCTGTGACTGCTGTAACAGGAATACCACAAGGGGGTGGCTTTAATGAACAGAAATTTCTTTACTCAAAGTTTAGGAGGCTGAAAGTCTAAACTCAGGGCATCAGCTCTAGGCAAAGGCTCTCTTTGTCCCCTCTGGGAGTAAATCCTTGTCTCAGCTTCTGGAGCCCTGGCGTTTCTCAGTTTCTTGGCCATCTCCACATGGCATCTACCTTTCCCCCATTTATGCTTGCTTCTCTGTCCGATCTGCTCCTTTTAGATCTCGAAAGTCATTAGGTTTAAGACACGCCCTACACAGATAGGGCCTCACTGACATAACAAAGAAAATCCTATTCCCAATGGGATTATGTCCACAGTATAGGGGTTGAGATTCGAACACATGTTTTGCGGGGACACAATTCAATCCATAACAGAGGGCTTTCTGGATTTGGGAGAAGAAAGGGAATTGCAAAGTCTCCTTATGACAAACATAAATTTGGGTCCAGTGTGCTGTGAGCGTTCCTCGATTGAGGATTTCTTTCATCCCTTCTCCACTCGCTGAGTCCCTCCCTTGGGGAGGACCTGGGCTGCTCCTTCCCTGATGTCAGTGTGCCCCGAGGCAGGAGCCTCCTCTGAGGGTCACCTCCAGAGGCCCCCAGCGATCAGCACAGCCTTTGCCACCCAGCAGACTCTTTGACCTTAACTGACTTGGCACTGATGTTTGGGGGAGAAAGCATCCTCATTAGCTGAGACTTAGTATGTTCCACTTCTTATGCTGGGAAAACATATGGCTTCATAGTCACTCATTTCTCTTCAACCCATTCAGTTTACCCAACAATAATTGAAGACTTACTATGTGAGACACACTGTTAAATGCTGAAGATGGAGACGCAGGCTCTTAAGGAACCTACAAGCTTAACCCAGGGGCCAGGACAGGAAAAATGGGGGCGGTGGTGCTTCGGTACTAGATTTCTTGCCTTCCATGCGGGAGACCTGGGTTCGATTTCTGGCCAGTGCAACTTATGCACAGCCACCACATATCAGAGGAGGCTTGCGTGTTGCTGTGATGCTAAATAGGTTTCAGCAGAGCTTCCAGACTAAGACAGACTGAGAAGAAAGGCCTGCGGATCTACTTCCAAAAAATCAGCCAGTGAAAACTCAGTGAGTCACAACGGTCCGATCTGCAGCCCATCCTGGCAGTGACGTGGGACCGGGTAGCATTTCGTCTCGTCGTGGGTTGCCGTGAGTCAGGGCTGACTCAACGACTGCTAACAACAGCATCGACAGCTGTGGGAGGCGGGGGCTCCTCCTCAGCTCTAGCGTAGATGTTTGCCTGGTGAGTCCTGGGCCCTTCTCTGCCTTGCAGAATCCACATTTATGTTGTCCTGCAGCTCCAAGTCTCTCCTGGCATCTGGGCCATGAGAGGAAGTGGGGGGACACTAGGGCCTCCTCCCAGATGCATTGGGCTCTCATTCAGTCCCTTCTCTTCAGAAGCAAAGAGCCCTGCCTTTTAAAAATTATTATTCTGTATTTGTGCGTGTTAAAGGAAGCCAGGAAGCTGCCCGGCAATGACTTTTCAAGACGGCATTTGTGGTTAGGGCATAACGTTTGGAAGTTGAAGTTTCAGAATGAACGGCTTGTATTGTCACCAAGGAAGGAGCATTAGCGATCATTTCTCCATCGCTGCTGTTGTCCCTTAACAACGTGAGGAGCCTGCACCCCAGTCTTCCTTCCTGTTAAAACCATTACGGCAGTTTCCAAAGAGGAAACCATCCTGGCTCCCCACACGTATTAAGGTTTTGCATCTGCAAGAGCTTGAATTCCACGCCGGCTGCCTCAGAGTCTCTCTGGCTGGCAGGCTGGTCTTGGAATAGAGCTGCTGGTGTCTGTGTTAGGAGGCTACTCTCAACCTCGCACCCTGTTTTCTTTTCACAGCCAGTGATGGGGATTACTGGCGCCTCCTGAACCCGGGCGAGTACATGGTCACTGCGAGGGCAGAAGGCTTCACCACGTCCACCAGGAACTGTATGGTGGGCTATGACATGGGAGCCACTCTCTGCAACTTCACACTCAGCAAAACCAACTTGGCCAGGATCCGGGAGATCATGGAGAAGTTCGGCAAGCAGCCCGTGAGCCTGCCAGCCGGACGGCTGAAGCTGCGGGGGCGCAAGAGGCGACAGCGCGGGTGAGCTGCCCAGCACTTGAGACACAGCCTGGCCGTGCAAATCCAAACCAGCCCTGCCCGTAGCTCCATGCTGACTCTGAGGCTCACTCCTGTTTTCTCTGTAATCTAAGAAACGCCAGGGAGCAGGTGTGCATTGCAAGACAGGTCCCCAAGGGTCGGGCTGGAGGCTGAGGATATTTTCTTTTCTTTGTTCCATTTATCCAAATAGTTTGGGCAGAGCAGCAGAGAAAGGCTGGCAGGAGTGAGAGAATTCAGCAGCACCCCCCCTGGGAATAGGAGAGAGCCGTGAGCTTGCTCATTCAGGGCCCCCGCCTGCACAGGGAGGGAAATGGGGATGTCTCCTCTTTGCGTGACTGCCTGAGCTCCACGTGTGCTTGAAATGTGCTTGGCGAAAATCACAGCGTTCCTGGGGCCCTGCTGCCCCAAATGTCACCATTCCACATGCTCATGGGCAATTGAAGAGATTCCGCCCTCTCTGGCCCTGGGCCATGCCATGCTGCGCACAGAAATCCTGCAGTCTGTTGACAATGGGGACATCAGCAAGAGAGCATCGGGGAGGCTCTTGAGCCAGTTTAGTTTTGGTTTTCCTTTTCAGCAAAGGGTGGGTATGAAAGAGGGAAGAAGCTGGGGTCACTCAGATGGAATTGTTGGGCTGCAGGCGTGCATTGAGCTTGGTGCATGCGTGCTTCGTCCACAGGGGGACCCACACCCTCCCTGCTGGGCCAGTCACTCTGGGCTTCCCGGGCTGGGAGAGCCAGAGGCCCCAACCTTCCTAAGGGACCAGGCAGCCTGTTCCCCTCTTTGGCCTGCTGGGGCTTGAAGAAAGAGCCAGAAGGAGGCTGACCCGTCCTCCTCTTTCTGTTCAAGGGTCTTACTCCTTTCTGGGGAATGAGCACTCATGTGTTGACGTAACACCAGGGCGAGAGTTATTTTGGGTGTGTGGATTGCCAGACCTTCCAAATTCAGCTAAATTTGATGAAAAACTCTTAGGAATACCTGTGGCGCGGCGGTTTGGGAGGGGTGATTGAATTCCCATGCAAGAAAACAGTTGTGTCTTACTATGTATTGATGTTGCTGCCTGATCAACCCAGGAAGAATGAAAAAAATAAAGAAAGCAAAAGGTAAGAGCCTCATGGTGTGTGATTTTTGTGACTTTGGTGGGTAGACTTGTGGACATACCAGCGTCACACCCACCGCCTCCCTCTGAGGTCACTCACCCTAGACAGAGAAGGCTCCCTGCATGGGGATCCCTGTGCTCAGCACTGGGGCTGGCAGCCTGTGTTCCCGGCCTCCTTCCAGGAGAGTCTTGTGCGTGGGTGACGCCATCCTGATGCTGCAACCCACGGGTGGCTACTGGAGGGACCAGTGAGCATCTTTAGAGTACAGATCCTCCTAAAAATCTTGGCCGTCTCAATGGGGCTTGGTCAGATTTTTCTGTAAGGATCAGAGAGTAAATATTTGAGGCTTGAGAGGGCACACAGTCTCCGTGGCAACCACTCAGCTCTGCCATTGCATCGCAAAAACAGACATAACTGAAACCAAACCAGTCGTTGTTGAGTCGACCCTGACTCACTCATGGCGACCTCATGTGTAGAACTATGCTTCATAGGGTTATCAGTGGAGGATTTTTTTGAAAGTAGATCACCAGGCCTTTGTTCCGAAGCACCTGTGGGTGGACTCGAACCTCCAGCCTTTTGGTTAGCAGCCAAGTGTATTAACTGTTTGTACCACCTGTGACTCCAGACTCTCTATAACATATAAAAATAAGAAGCAAAAGCTTATGCACTCAAATTTATGCTTAGTAATCAATGTTTCAGTATTCATTTTACTTAGAAATGATCTAGGTGTCTGATGATTATCCATTAATTGAGGGTTTAAATTACCTAAAGATCTCGGAAATTATCTTCAAGCTGACAACACTACAAATATAATTACTATTGAAATATAGAGTTGTCAGAATAATGACTCAATTTAGGTACATGCAAATTTATATTTTTCATGGCCTTACACATTAAGTAGTCATAACGTTAACTTATTTGATCAGTGTCTTAGTTATCTAGCGCTGCTGTAACAAACAAATACCACCAGTGGATGGTTTTAACAAACATAAGTTTATTCTCTCACAGTCTAGCAGGCTAAAAGTCTGAATTCAGGGTGCCCGCTCCAGCGGAAGGCTTTCTCTCTCTGACGGCTCTGGAGGAAGGTCCTTGCCATTAATCTTCCCCTGGTCTAGGAGCTTCTCTGAGCAGGAGCCTCAGGTCCAAAGGACATGCTTTGCTCCTGGCACTGCTTTCTTGGTGATCTGAGGTCCCCATGTCTCTCTGCTTGCTTCTCTATTTTATATCTCAAGAGAGATGGACTCAAGAAACAACCTAATCTTGTAGATTGAGTCCTGCCTCATTAGCATAACTGCCACTAATCCCACCTCATTAACATCATAGAGACAGGATTTACAACACATAGGAAAATCACATCAGATGACAGAGTGGTGGACAATGACACAATACTGGGAATCATGGCCTAGTCAAATTGATACACATATTTTTAGGGGACACAATTCAATCCATGACAATCAGTAAACCTGAACAAATTTAGGAAAAACATATCTAGTAGGGCAAAATGTAGCTCAAACTATACATAGCAGTAATAAATCAGAGAAGACATAGGTGTTTTTTATTAAATCAAAATTATTAAGCAAGTCTGGTTTGCCAAAGATTTACCTTAATTATACGGATTCTTAAAACGTTTCTAAGTTAGTTTCGATAAAACAAACAAACAAAAATACTTTGTATAATCTTACACACACACACACACACACACACATATATATTAAAATATGAATTCTAGCACATTTAAAATATTAGACATTCAATTTCCTTATTTTCTGATAATTTTAGGAAAATTTAATTTCTCTAAGCGCTGTTTATTTCTAGATGCCAGTCGCAACATAGCTCCTTTAATTTAAGGGGCTTTGTAACTCAATTCATTAATACCCTCTGGAGGTTGGAAAACCCCACATACCCACACAGTGAAAGCTGAAGACCTTTCTGATTTTCACACAGACACATATCTGGAAATCTAGGAATTTGGATTCTACCATTTCAGCCACGGTTCACAAAAACTCACAGGTCCAAACACCAAAGAGCTGTTCTTCCTTGTAGGCACAGAATTCTTACTTGATTTGAGTTCAAAATAGGCAAATGGACAAAGAAAGGGCTGTTTCAGGCGAGCTCGTACTCCCTGTAGGGCCGTCCCCAGCCTTCGGGCTCACTTGGCCTGGGCTTGGAGAGCCAGGTGCTTGGGGATACATGTTTCTCCCGGAGCATTCCCTGACCAAGGAGTGACAGCTGCAAGAGTGTACATGCTCCTACTCCCTTGCTCCCTGATCTGGACATTTCCCAGTTGTACCCTATACTGTCCCAGAGCTCCCTGTGGGACCAGGCCAAGGTTGCCTTTGGTGGGACTTTGCTTGGTATCACATCCTCTCGTGGACTTCTCCTTTCCTGATCCAAGACCTCCACGCCCGTACCAGGTCTTCTTGGATGTACTTCTCAATACATCCTTTTCACACAAATCCTCATCCTAGGTGCTGCTTCTAGGGAGCGAACCTAAGGTTCTACTCAATTATCCCTTTCACCTTTAATAACAGAGCCCTGGGTGTACGCAGGGAGCAGTATGGTCAAGGATAGGGTTACATTTCCAAACTGTTGTTGGGGCTAGGGGTGACACCATGTTTATAGGTTCTGGACAATGAGATGTAAGTGGGAATTCCAGCAAGTTCCCTTAAAAGGGGAGGGTTGCCGTTTTGTTCTTTCTCTGGTCTCCTGTCAGCCTGGAAAAGAGACACAAAGGCTGGAGCTCCTGCAGCCATCTTAGATGTTGCCCTTGAAGATGGAAGCTACTCACTGAGGATAGCACAGCCTGGGACCCAAAGACACCAAAGGGCCACCATACAAGTCCTGAACTACCCTCCCTTTCCTGGGTGTTTCTTATCTACCTCGTTTCAGCCTTGGTTATTGGGGTTTTTATGTTATGTAGAGGGTCAGCAAAAAAGAGGAAGACCTCAACAAGATGGATTGCATCAAACAGTGGCTGCAACAATGGGCTCAAGCATAACAATGACCATGAGGATGGCACAGGGCTGGGCAGTGTTTCATTCTGTTGTACACAGGGTCGCTGTGGGTGGGAACCGACTCAATGACATCTAATAACAACATGTTGTGTGCAACAAAACTTTATCCTAACTGATAGAAGCCTCAGATTCTGTCTTTCTAATGCAAAAGTCAGCATTACCGATCCATAAGCCATACTGAACGCAGGAATATTTTTGCATATATCTTTCTAATTTAGTCTGCCTCGGAACTTTAGAAATCAGAAGCCAAAATGCTAAACTGTGACTAAAGAGAATAACCTTGTGCCTGGGCTATTTCCAGCTTCAGTTCTCAGATGTTCAGGCGTGCACTGAGGCCCTTCTGAACGTCTTCACCAAATCACCTTTGATTTCTCAGGCTGTTGCTGGGCATCACCTCATAACTCAGCAGCCATTGTTAAGAATTACAAAGTCAGAATCAAAATGCTTCCGTCCACTGACCTTGTTGGAGCTATGAATTCTGCTGCATTCACACATATGGGTAGGCTCGAACCACCAACCTCTCGTGAGATAGAAAAGATTCTGGCCAAAACAGAGGCACACAAATGTGTTTTGAAGGCAGATATCAGAGCCTGGTCAGTCCTCTCTGATGGTTTGAGGGGCGGTGTCAGGCAAGAAAGCCAAAAACCAAACCAGTTGCAATCGAGTCTGTTCCAACTCATGGTGACCCTGTGTGTGCAGAGGAGACCTGCTCTTAGGGTTTCCAAGGCTGTGACCTTTCAGAAGCAGATCACCAGGACTCTCTTCTGAGGTGCTTCTGGGTGGTTCAAACTGCCAAAGTTTGCCGTTAGTAGTCTAGCACTTAACCGTTTGTGCACCCGGGGACTTGTTGGGCAAGAAAGTGACCCTTACGC